CTTCAAGGAAATCCAAGAGATTACAAGTGCCACCTTGATGGGCTAAGGCTCAAAATAATGCAGACTTTACCTTAGATTACCTTTGTCGCGAAACATAATTCATCATAGACAAGCAACTCTGACTTCAGTGAGTGTTGCAATCAAATTGATAAAATTGAAAAAAAAAAAAATACATTTGTTAAATGTTGAATATTTGTAGTGGTCAAATCGCTTAACAAGCGACACCTAGCTAGTTCTCAGGCATGCTACTTAGACTGAAAGAAAAAATAATTCAAATAAACATAGTAGGCTTAAAATTCCCAACTGGTGGGAGGCAGACCTGTTGGGTATTTACAACCATGACCAAGGAGTTGAACCAGTGTCTCCCAAAAAACACCTCCAGTTTAGTGGTCAGGGCAGAACTTGAACACGCGACCCCCGATTTCTAGTCTGGTGATCTAACCACTCAACCACATGCTGCCTCTACATAAATGCTAGCCAAAGACTGAGTGTCCACCTTGGCTTGCCCCACCCACTTATAAGTATGTTGGTATATACAGCCATAGCTATGCCCATTGGTGGAAAAAGAAAGTTTGAGAGTATGGCTTAACACAATGGCTCACCACAATCTCTGTGGCCTGAGAGCTTGACAAATTACATTTCCTTCCAGATTTGATCATATCATAATACAAGTTGGGACCTCCAACTTAAAGGATTCACAAGAGCTGGTAATTAACAGTTAACAATATATTAAATTACCGCATCAAAAACTACTTAGAGATATATTTTCAACAAATCAGTTTTAATCCTTTAGGAACTAGCTTTTGTTAGATAAGTTTTAAGAATACAAAATGCAACAACAAGTCAACAACAAAGAACAAACAAAAACAGAAACTTCATTTATACCCATAGTCATCCTCGGAGTCCCAGGGGCAGTTAGTGGGGGCGGGGAAGTCTAAACGGGCGAGAAAAAAAAATCGGGCGAAGAAAAGTCCCTGGGTCTCCGAGGATGACCCGTAGTAAAATGTTTGCAAATAGACCAAATAAGTAAAGAGAAAAGAGAATTTTACTTTACTTTTACTAACTGAACTTTGTCGATTTGTTTCTAATACCTTTAAAGGCAAGACATGCTGAAGATACAGGTGCGACAGCAATTGGTTTAATGGCCACAAGCTACTTTTCTCCAAAGTCTGTAGGTGTGTATTTATTTCCTCCTCATAAACGGAAAACGGAATCCTTTCAGAATGTGTCGTGAAAGGATTCCGTTTGTCCCTAGTTGCAAGTTGATGCGGAATAAAAAAATATGCAAGTATGGAATCTCGTTTAACCTGTCAGAGCAAATATCGGTAAAATACTGAAACAAACGAAGCAGAATTGGTTGACTTCGAAATGTTCGTCTCAGTCGCTTTACAAACGGAACAGTGAAGATACAACGCGCATGTACATAGACGTTTTCCCGCGCTTTTAGCAGGGTCATCTTCAAGCCTTTCTTCAAGCCTGGATTTGCTCCTGATTGATTAAAATTACAGTATGTGTTCTCTGATTGGTCAACGCAGGACAATAGAGCCCAACAGAAACAAGTCAAAGAGTCAGTCAAAGGTACCCTCCATTATGCCACATTTCCGGGGATCGGTCGGACCGAAGTTTGTCGTTCCACTTTGTCAAGTTACCGATTCCTTCCCCTACTCCTCTTCAGTAGATTTCACTCATTCGGCTAGAGTAATTGCTTTGATTTGGTTTTACGACCCTCAGTTGAAAACCCATCTAAAATCAGTCGAAGATCGCTATTGTAGTAAAAAGTACATTTATTTTCTTTCTTTTCCACAGATGACCTTGTCGAATATGTTCGTCTTGTGGCGGAATGTGCACCAAACACTCCGCTGTTTTACTATCATATCCCAGCTTGGACACATATTCCATGTAGGTGAAGAACTTGTGAGTCAGTCTGCAATGTAATGTGAATTTGTAACAAACAAACAAACAAACTAGTAAGCTTAAGTCTTGAGAACATTTGGACAGTGTATCGTTGAAAACGAGGCGTGCATTGGTGTGTGTTGGGAACTGGAGTGGGGGGACATAATCCGAGAGAGAGGGGGGAGGTCACACAGTTATCCAATGTTTTAACTCAGTTTTGTTGCCATCACAGTTTTAATGGAAGACTTTTTGGAAGCTGCAATGCCCAAGATTCCAACATTAGCGGGATTGAAGTTCACAAGTATTGACTTGTTTGACTTGGGCCGCTGCCTTGTTCTCGGCGAGGAAAAGATTCAGATTCTCTTTGGAGGTGACGAGGTTGGTAGCGAAGGCTTACGCCTAGTGGAAGAGCGCTAAATTAAGTCATCACAAGATAGGAACCTGAAATAACGGCGATGATGGGTATGCCATGTCAAAGAGGCACTCTCACGGGCGTTACTGCTTTTTAAGTCAAAACAGTACTAAAATTATGATGAAGTGTGGACAAAGTAAGGAGAATTTTGGTTTTGAACCAAGGGCTTATCTTTTGTTTTCTGTAGATTCTCGTAAGCGCTTTAGCTATGGGGGCTCGTGCTACCATTGGAGGGTAAGCAAACTTTATCATTCGTTTCTTTTGCTCAATTTCACCGTCTTATTTTACGTAATAAGCTGAAAAATGTGGAATTTGCGGGAAGAAAACATAACAGAACATAATTAACTGATGGCAAGCTTGACAGAAATGCGAGCTCGCAGATAAACTCAATCGGTGGTTGAGTTCGTCTGTGCCTCTGGTTTTGGCTTGTAGATTGTTGCACTGACCAATTCTGTTCTGATCTTTCTTTACCTCGATAAACTATTGGTTCGCGGTTTCGTGTAATTTGGTGACTTCAAACATTGCAAAAAGTAATTTTCTGGTTTCTTTTGTTTTTGTTTTAGAACGTATAGCTTCGCTGGGAAGTTGCACAGTCGAATTATAGATGCCTTTAACAAAGGAGATATCGAAACAGCAAGAACAGAACAGGTATTTAATCGCTCTAAGGGTTATCATTGTTCGTGTTGTAGTTAAATTTGTCTCAGTACTAATATATTGTGTACAACGACTAAACCCGATTTCAAGAAAAACCATTCCCGTAAATAGAACAGAGAACTTGTTAGAAGTTGCATCAGTTTGGGGGTAGCGAATAAAAATCCATCCAGTGGCAGAAAGAAGGATTTGAACCAGGGGCCTCGGGAATAAAAATCCGACGCCCTAAATTAAACCACTAGGTCACGCCACCATGGCATCCTGTTCAATACTTTAGTCATCCATGATAAGCTTGCTGTTCTTTTGTTCTCACATTTAGTATCGATCTCAAGCCATGATCAAACTTTTCATTAAATACGGTATGTAAAGTGATGGAGTGCTTTGACAATAATGTGTGCAGTTTGATGACTAACTTGAACTTTTTAAATGAAAAGCAGGCACAGTTTAGTGTGTACTACATGACGGTTTTTTCTCTGTACTTCCAGGAGGCCATCCGGGCGTCGCGAAAGCCATCATGAGATTTCTTGGCTTGGACCTAGGGCCTGCTCGTTCACCTCTTTCGCAGTTAAGCGAGAGCGTGGAAGCAGGATTAAGGGAAGAATTAGACGGTATTGGATTTTTTACTTGGCGTTAAAAGAAAATAAACGCGTCAATTTTACTACGAGGCGCGAAGTAATTTTTATTCTCGTAGTTAAAGTTTTATGGTGTGAAAATTTTAAATTAACGTGTTAACAGAGAAAATTATAAGTTAATATATTAATGTGGCAGAACTATGTAGCTGAGTAAGGACTGGAACATTTCATAGGAATGTTAGACATGCCGTGAAAACAGTTACAGGCTTTGCCTAGCAGAGTTTTGTTCAAATAGCCAACACAGCTTTTTTTTAACACGTCCATACAGAGAAAAAAAAAAAAAATTGACGAAAGGTTTACCAAGAAAAATACGTTTAGAAAACAAATAACTCTGTGAGAGCTTATTCATTCAACTTACATAGTGAAGCAACTATTTTCTTCTTGAAATAGCCAAAAATATTGTTTCAACACAACAGAAGTGTTAAGGTAAATCTAACAAGGGGAGGACCTCGTTAAAGCGGACACCAAAGAGACAGACAAGAGTGTCCGTAACGCAGAGGTGTTGGTATTAGGTTCGACCAGAAGCATATTACCTAGGTGATATGCTTCTGGTTCGACTGAACCAAATTCTTAGTTCTTTGTAATTTTTTCCTTTCCAATCATCGTTGACGCATTTAATAATATCGGGTTGAAATGACTGTTCAGGACAACAATTGCATCATTTTGACAACAGTTTTATTAAAATATATCGATTTCCACAACACCCTCGTGTCTATATCTCCTACGTCTATGATAGAATTCCAGTATTACAGTGAAGTATGTTACATCATTGACTTTTATCATAAGCACATTATTCAAGAACGAACATCCAGCCCATAATAATAAACATCTATGTACTAATTAAAGGTTGTACAGGTTAGTTCCAGCACCCCTTCAGTGCACACAACTTATGCTACCTCGTCTCCAGGCTCGGGGAGTGCGGAGCTTGATGGCAAGTAGGCAAAACGCTTTTCTTCTCTATGTCCGTCCCAGAACTCCACGCCCACCGCGTAAAGCGAAGAGAGGGGCCAGGGAGTGGACCTAGTGCATGGTGATATGGAAACATCTAACTGTAATCTTATCGAAGTGAAATTCACGAAATATAAACGACATTTTTCTAGGCATAATTATTTTCTTAGATAATTTTTCTATATTTAATTTCTCGAATATTAAAAAAAGGATCGCATCTTTGTGAAAAGTAAGTGCAACACACATTGTAAAAGAAGGATTAATTAAAAGAATTGCTTTCCTAACCTGTATTTTAATTTTTTATTATTATTTAATCGTTATTTGCACTAACCTCTACCACTAACCAGAGGCTTTTTCGTGTTAGGATGACTCGGCATCACTGGTCTGAACCCCCTCCCCCTCCCCTCTGTGCAAAAAAAGCCTCTGTCACCAGTAATAGGTAGCCATTTATCAAGAGAGAAAAACCTGAGTAAATAAAGCGAATTATTTAGGACTCGAGTGTCCCTTAGTTAATCATTTCTTTACACCTGAATGGATTAAAGAAGCTCAGTCACGGAATTTTGAGTTATTATGGCCACGTACAAAATTTCCATACAAATTAAAGGAAATTTGAAAATAGTAGTTTATAAAAAAAAAAGAAGAAGAAGAAGAACACTTACAATAATAAACCATAAAGGAACAAGGATGATTAAGGATGGAGAAGATTTATACGGATTACAAACGAAGAACATGAGAAATTTGGGCTCAACTTCTCGAGATGCGCAAACGGTGACGTAGCTCCTTTAATTTGGATTTCTTGCCGAGAGAGAACTATGATCGTTTAAGTCACTACAAGTACAAACCGACCACAAGGAAAAGCAAGAGGGAACATCCAAGCACACCATGAAAAGCGACAAACAATGGCAAGTGTAGGAAAATTTGAATTTGGTTTCACATTTCGTATCTAGTCTGACTTAAAACTCCATTGTAACGGTAAATATTAGTCAGTTACACGACTACTTTCAAACCTTGCGGAAGATAAGCTCTATTTAAGACATTAATAGGCCGTTTTACAGTTGTGTGCTCGGTTACCTGGTCTATGAATGTAAGCGAGGCTGGAGTTGACCTTGCTTTGATACAGACCTCTGCTCTTCTCATTTAAATGCAAACTAGTTAGCATCAGAACACCTTGATTTGCATCAAAACAAGGTCAGCTTCAGCCTCGCTGCCATTCAAAGGCCAGGTCACCGAACCGACAACTCTAAAATGGTCTTTTGCGATTTCAAGGCGCGCTGACCATCACATTGTAAAGTGTCGGGTGTAGTCGTATTCTATCGTAGGTATAACAGCCTGAACAAATTTGAGAAAGATGAGTAAGTACCTAAAAAAACGTCAAGGAAAATGTTATACCATAGTCTGAATACACGTAGAATTAGAAGCTAGCCTCTTCCAGGCGTTCAGTTAGTTGGGGCGCAGCGCAAAAAATGGCCCATGGGAAAATAGGGGAGAAGCGTAGCGCTCCTCGCACCAAGCCTCTCTCCTTTATTTCGCTACGCCGTTTTCTGCCCTGTGCTCCAACTAAATGGTGGAGACTTTGCAGAGGTCATAAGTTCGAATCCCGTTCTAGCCTGATATTGTAGGCTTGCTTGAGATAAAATGTAACTCTCGAATATCTTATTCCCTCGTTGCCTCTGATTTTGTCTTCACGTGTCGAAATAACACATGGTTGTTTCTCATAACGCGTGATCACGTTATCATAACGCCTAATCGTCACGCACGATCACGATAACGATCTTAAAGGATACATATGAACACCAAGCTCTCCTCCGCCGTCAGCTACTGTTTGGATAATCTTCTTCATTACGTCTGCGTGCCTGCCAATAGAAAACAACCACGTGACTGATGGGATTATCCACTGTTAAAGATCTCCCAAGCGTACATTACTTTCTGCAATGTTTGATGGTATTACAATTTCCCTTGATTAATTCTCTTAATCTTGCCACGACTGAAAATAAAATCATACACTAAAAAAGGCCTTCATCAAGCTTAAGTGCCAAAAATAGTCCTGAAAACCCGCCTGAAGATTTCCGATTTCCAATAATTGCCGACAAGGGACTAAAAGTCAGAAGCCTAAACTTTTTCTTATTTCAAGCAAAAAATCAAAACTTTCCTTCAAGGATAACGCCTGCAAAATGTTGGTCTATCATTAAAAAATGATGAGATAACGTGTGTTTGCAACCCAACGTATTGGGTGTTCTCTGAAATAAAAAAGGCCTCGATTAAAACTAAATTCTCTCAAGGAGGATAATTCAATTAACCATTTTTTTTCAAGGACACGGTAACGAGTCCTACAATCTGATTGGTTCTTAGTGCGATCCGGACAGTCACGTTAAAGAGCGCCCGATGCGTGTGTGGAAAAGGTCAACAATTTGGAAAGTGACTTGAGGGTGTGAGGAAAAAATAAATAAATTATTTACCGGCTCAGAGTCGGTCCGTATAGTGAAAAACTGTGACCTCGCACTTGAAAATACAGCCTTTGGCCTGCAGCATTTTCCAGACCTCGGTCACAATTTTACATTATATGTACTCCCAGCTGGTAAATAAAATTTATATGTATGTGCTAAAACAACATGGAGAATTATGATGTCGATCGCGAGACTTCACAATNTAACTCTCGAATATCTTATTCCCTCGTTGCCTCTGATTTTGTCTTCACGTGTCGAAATAACACATGGTTGTTTCTCATAACGCGTGATCACGTTATCATAACGCCTAATCGTCACGCACGATCACGATAACGATCTTAAAGGATACATATGAACACCAAGCTCTCCTCCGCCGTCAGCTACTGTTTGGATAATCTTCTTCATTACGTCTGCGTGCCTGCCAATAGAAAACAACCACGTGACTGATGGGATTATCCACTGTTAAAGATCTCCCAAGCGTACATTACTTTCTGCAATGTTTGATGGTATTACAATTTCCCTTGATTAATTCTCTTAATCTTGCCACGACTGAAAATAAAATCATACACTAAAAAAGGCCTTCATCAAGCTTAAGTGCCAAAAATAGTCCTGAAAACCCGCCTGAAGATTTCCGATTTCCAATAATTGCCGACGAGGGACTCAAAGTCAGAAGCCTAAACATTTTCTTATTTCAAGCAAAAAATCAAAACTTTCCTTCAAGGATAACACCTGCGAAATGTTGCTCTATCATTAAAAAATGAATGATGAGATAACGTGTGTTTGCAACCCAACGTATTAGGTGTTCTCTGAAATAAAAAAGGCCTCGATTAAACCCAAATTCTCTCAAGGAGGATAATTCAATTTACTTTTTTTTTTTCAACCACACGGTAACGGGTAATGCAATCTGATTGGTTCTTAGTGCGATCCGGACGGTCACGGTAAAGAGCGCGCGATGCGTGTGTGGAAAAGGTCAACAATTATGAAAGTGATTTGAGGGTGTGAGGAAAAAATAAGTTATTTACCGGTTTAGAGTCGGTCCATAGAGTGAAAAACTGTCACCTCGCACTTGGAAATACAGCCTTTGGCCTGCAGCATTTTCCAGACCTCGGTCACAGTTTTACATTATATGGACTTCCCAGCTGTTAAATAAAATTTATATGTATGTGCTAAAACAACATGGAGAATTATGATGTCGATCGCGAGACTTCACAATGATAGTGACTCACCTACAAGGATGAACAGACGCCATAGTCATAGGCAAGTGAGGATGGGCTTCTACTGTTACAGTCTTTTTAGCGTGATCCTTAAACATAAACAACACTGTGTCAACACTGTCAACCTTGCAAGTGAATATATGAAAGACCATATATTTGAACTGCGGAGAAAGATACGAAGATATGTACNCCAGGGAGGATTCCTTGACCCCTCTAGAAGCTGAAGGCTGATGGCATTAAAAGTCATTAAGGTGTACAATCCCCCTTTCAGGAATTCCTGAATCTGTCCCTGAACCCATTTATACACCTCAGTGGGGAGACGCAAAGTGAGAGGCAAGTCTCTTGCCAAAGAACACAACACAATAATGCACCTAGCAGTGGCATCCAGATCACTTGATCCAGAGTACAGTGTGGTAACCATTTAGCCACTGCACCTTAATCCACTTATCATTTGAAAGGCTAGTAATTAAAATTAACTAAAAGCATTCCTACCTCATTGTAGCCAAACAGCCATAATCTTGGTGTCTGATAGTATTTATCATATGTGATGTACATGTCGTAAGTTCTTGTTTGCAGAATTCCACCGGAAGCGCTCGCATCTACTGCGCTCTCCCCCGACTCAGTTTTTGAAGTTGGTTGGATTGACAGGGTGGCCTACAACATTCAATAACATTTGATATACCTAGTATACATGTAATCATGTGACCCAACATTCACGTACCTCAATAACTGTAAGCCCAGAAAATAGATACTAAAATCATAACAAGGACTTAATGCAGTCAGGACTTATTGAGGAGCTTTTACTCATGTTCTGAACACTTTCCAAACAAGAATACCAGCTTTACGATGAATTCAAAATACCTCATCACTCTCCAACATTCCACTTTCTTCAAAAGCTGAAAACAAAAAACAAGAAAAACTATATTTTAACCATATAACTATGCTTAATAGCAATTTAGGTTAAAATCAAAGTCTGCTCCAATCCAGAGGGGAAATGCCATAGAGATTAAATGGAGACACTCTCAATATTACTGCTTTGCTAAGAACTTGACACAATGACATTAGCCAGCCTATGCGGCCTGGCTAAAACTTGGCCTGTGAACATTATGCACAAGCTGGGAAAATTTGCTGGTATAATTTGTCAAGGCCACATGCATCTTCCAACCACGGGTGTATGGCTCTGATAATCATAGATATCAGTAACCGATAAGAAATATCTAAAAGGGGTGATACCTTCCATATCCACTGCCTCTTCTTCATCATCTTCCTCCTCGTCATCATTTTCTGCAGGTGCTATGTCTTTTGTGGTCTGTGTAAATAATACAAATAAATGAGAGCATGTTTTTACGTCTGTTCTGAATATAAATTGTAGGATTTTTCTATGATAGCAGGGTTGTCATTAAAGGCAGTAACCATTAGCACCTGTTACAGCTAAGAATGACTGTCACAGAGGCCTTGATGTTACAAGGGAATATGCCTGTTGTTAGACAGGCATAATTCACCCACGAGGGAACACGTTAGTTGCAGGTGTTCAGAGCAAGGTAACAGGTAACTCAAATGTAATCTTAATATGACAGTACAAAACTTATACATCTCTATTGATCTTAGCAAATATTTTATAAATCTTAGCAAAATGTTTGATGCAGGAGGGCAACTGGTTTTCACAGGTGGGCAAAACTATTTGAACTGAACTTCTTTAAAAGGAAAGCCTTCTGCTAGCAAACCAAGTGGGCAAAATCGTCCTTGCAGCTGGTCAAATTGCATGGTGTCAAGCCCTTGATGAAACCCCCTGACATACAGGCAAATACCTTGTCAGATTCAAGCGTCATCTCTGCAAATGATTCCTGGGCACCAGTCACAGCCTGCTCGCCACTTGGGTCAACATGGTGATGAGTGTCCACCCACCCACCATCTTCATCAGGTTCAACAATGGCCTCATTTTCTTCTTGATGTTCCATTTCCTTGCACCGCTTGTAGCATGGAACTACATGTTAGAAACAAAACACACTGAATACTCACAACAGGAGAATGCCATTAAATTACACAATTTTCAGTTTTATTTTATCTGCATTACTACACAACTACCTGGTATAATTTTAGATATTTTAACAACTGTGTCCTGTCTAGTGCTTTGGTAGCTACTTAGAAACCAGTAGTGACTGATACATTTGGTAGGTTGATTGATTGATTGATTGATTGACTGACTGACTGACTGGTGGACGGATAGACGGAAGGACAGACGGATGGGTGGATTGATTGAGTGAGTGAATGATTGTTTGATTGATAAATTTTGTTTTCAAGATTAATTAGGCAAATTAGCTGTTGTTGCAAATTTAGGAAACTGGTGTTTCCAAGTAATTGCCCCTTAATTAGATTGCAGTGAAGAATTGTTGGCTGCAGGCACAGGTCGTAGTTATATATGATTGTATTACTGGTTGCAGGATACATAATGATGGAAAACACTTTTCTATAAGTATTGATGGAAAATTCATCCTAATCATGAGAAGTGTACATAGATCTCATGAAAGGAAATATAATGTTTTGGGGTTATTAATGTAGCCTTTACGAACTATAAGACCAGGAGTTTGAAATATTTGGAAACATGATTAGAAGCAACTTTGAGAAGTGATAAGGTTAAGGTTGAATCCAAGATATACACTGTACAGGGTGAATATTTAAGCTTGGAGCCCAAACATACCATTTTTTGTATACAAGAACTGCTTGTCTGCTGGGAGATAACTCTTTATTTTGCTTTCATCTGGACCTGTGTCCCTGAAAAAAAAGACAGGGTCAAAGGAGCAATCTACAGTGCAGAGAACCTGTCCAATGGAAATCTAAGGAAGGCGAGGTAGTTAGACAGATGGGGTAACAGTCTCATTCCCAGAGCTGCCTGTCTCTATGTCCAAGCTTGGTGTCCAAGTACGATTCTTGCTGGGCACTAATGTGAACACACCTTTTTTCCAAGTACTTCACCAGAATTTGGGCACAGTGCCCATGCCTGGGTACAAGGTCTTGATCTTGTCCTTGGGCTCTAGATGGTACTTTGATACTTGGAGTATTGGTGTCTGAATGCATTTACTATTTTGTGCCGATGCCCAGGCACCAGTGCCCAAGCACCAAGTGTGGACATAACTTTAGCCAGTTGGACCTTGGCTTGAGGAAAAGGTGACTCTGGAGACACATGATTTGGTAAAATAAGATCCTTAGACTAAGATTTTCATTAACTCATTGTTGGTTTCCTTCTCAGCTTGATTATCAGCTGGACCCTAAAGAGTGGTGGAAATCGAGCCTGGTTCCCTTTCCAAAAATATCACAATCTGATTGCTACCTAAAACTGTTCAAACACAGCAGCTACAAACCTTCAGGAAGTTAAAAACTGGCTCACTGGGAAAATGTTTAGGTGAGTCCACCATAACAAAACATATTTAAATGCCACATCCAGTGAGAACTTTACTTCAGTTTTAAATTCCCCTTATGGAATCCCTTAAGGTCTGTAAGCACTGTAATCAAAGGGTTTTAGTCAATGATAAACCAATACAAACCATTTCCACGTTGGACAATGATGTACTAAATGATCACCAGCTGCAACAAACTGTGAATCAAATGCACAAAAATAATTAATCCAAAAAAACAACTTGGATAANGTGATCAAAAGCAAAAGGGAAGATGTCAAGCAAATGAACCAGTCATGTTAGCACTCTCTAAATTAGTCTTTAGTTACAAATTCCTCACAATACGTCTACAGTGTACATGATGATAATAATTATTATGTTTCCTAAAGGGGCTAAGAAAGTAATTTCTAAGGGGTTAACTCTGTCTGTGTTACTTAAGTATTTCGGAGTAAGTTTAGAAGGAAACTGAGGGAGTGAAGAAAAATCAGGTTATTTTTGGTGGGGGCGGAGGGGGGGACACATTGCTTTGTGACTCATCTTGTCCACTGGGAGAGGGGATGGTAAAATGGAAAGGCCACAGTTTGCAAGGAAGCATTTAAGCTTATATTCCTGGCTGGAAAGAAGCACTGTAGGATAGTAGTTATTACACTTATTTCGATCTGATAGCTGCGTAGTGGAATAACTAAAACATGATTTATACTTTATACTTTATCCAGGATCGCCAATTATTGGATTATTAGATCGTGTCACGAAACGAATACTATTTCGTTTTGGTTTCGTATAAGCACCGCTACAAGCACTCAAAAGTGAAATAACATGTCCTAAGATCAGAAATAACAATTGCAAAATTAAAAAGAGTAAACGAAACTCAACTATAGCTATGAGCTAAGTTCAAACCCCAGAGCTGAGCAAAGTTCAAATTCACTGTGAGAAAATAGCGTATAGAAATACCTATAAACATACCTCTTCCGGTGTAATCACACCAGTTTCCTGAAACTTCGATTCCTGTATACAACGCAGGAAAATGAAATCCATTTACGCGGCAAATCTACAAATAGTATAAAACAGGAACTTCCCTTCGCGTTTATCAACAGGGGTATACACTACCTTCAAAACCGGAGTTAAGTATTCCGCGACTCCAAGGGCAGTTCCCTTCATCTTATTTATAACGTCTTGCATCGCCATAATGAAGATCTGGTCTACAATATATTTCTTTCCGTGCAGTAAATCGCAGGACAACTCCAACGTCCTCCACTCGAAAGGACGCAATTGACTGCTACAGACGGCGAAGACAAAAACTGTGCATATGTTTAAAAGTACGTCCGCTGAGCAGTTTAGTTCCGAGGAGCGCGTCACACAACATCCAGATATCACTAGAGTCACGCACAGGGTCACGCATGGCAAACAACCGTCTGTTCAAAAGAGTTTCACCTGAGAGATTTCTTTTTGATATTTTTTTCTCTTTTTGCGTCCCCGTTTCCAACGCCCCCTTCTTTCCATTGAATAATTTAGATTTTGACCCCCCCCCCCCCATTTTTTCTGGGTGTTATTACTTTACATTCTGCCCGCTCATTCCGTTTAATGTTTATTTACTCATTTATTTATTTATTTATTTACTTATTTTCATTCCGTTTACGTCGTAAAACCAAAGTAACCATTCTGCCAATCGCAAAGGATACAGACAATCCAATGAACCAATCAGCACTCGATCGAAGTAATTACAAGTAGCTGACGAGCAAGTCACGATTGGCTTAAGTTTTACTTCTGATTGGATAAAAGAAAAGTGGCGCGAGTTTTTTTCAAGGCAATCGAGTAGTGTAGTAATGCACAACCAAACCCTTATCGACACTCAAGCTAAAACCGCTCTAAGTGGTAGTCGTAAACCCGGGGGGGGGCACTACCATATATGGGTTATATAGGTATGTGCCGCTGTGAAGGGTATGGTTTTCAAGCAGTTTACTCTAGGACAGGGTATATAAATCAGAGCGTTTGGGTCTAGAATAGGGTATCATTTTTCACAAAACTGA